TGTGTGTGTGTGTGTGTGTGTGTGTGTGTGTGTGTGTGTGTGTGCGTGTGTGTGTGTGTGTGTCCGTCTGTCCGGATATTTCAACTCGGCATCCAAGCAAGCTCCAGCGCAAAAATTTTGCGAGTGGGTCCCCCGGCAAAATGCTACCCCAGAACCGCAGCACCAACCCTCACGCAAGTCTGGGCCTTGCGTGCGAGAGGGTAAAAGTTTTGGCGGGAAAACTGATAACTCGGAAACGAAAAAAGATAAAAAGCTGAAATTTTGAGGCTGTGTTCCCCGTCCACATATAACTCAAAGACTTCAAATTCAGCCCCCAGGTGTGCGTGGTTCTCACGTACGGCCTCGTGAAATTTTTTGGCGGTAAAATGGCTAACTCGGGAACTAGCAAAGCTGGAAGGCTGAAATTTTCAAAGGATGTTCCCAGCCTGCATACAACTTAGAAATGCCAAACTCACCACCCACGTATGCTCCCAGGTCGTGTGCGGCCCTGTGAAATTTTTGACGGGAAAATTGGCAACTCGGGAACCAGAAAAGCTGAAAAGTTGAGTTTCTAGGAGAACATTCCCCGTCCAAATACAACTTAAAGGTTTTATATTCAGTCTCCATTTACGCGTGGTTCTCGTTTACGGGCACTCAATTTTTTGACAAGAAAATTATTCATTGAACAGCTGGATCATTTTCAAAAATCGACCGCCAAACGGGAATTGTTTATTTCCTTTTATGCAAAATTTGCGATGATTTACCGTATTGATTTACGGTATGGCTTGCGGTTTTTGACGAACGACCGCTCTAGCAACACTTCCACTTTTTACTGCACTGAAAATTTGCATTTTTTCAAAAAATTTACATCTGTCATTTTTTCACAAATCGAGCATTTACCGAAAAAACGACCGGATTTCATTCAAAAAACCGGTAAAATGCACCTGGATGTCCGTGTGGCTCTATAATGCACCATCTTCATCTCAACTGACACTCTTTCTCCTGCATGCCGGAAGTGGCCAAAGCACAGCCAATACGAGCCAAGTGTTAGGCTACAGCGTAGGGGTCATTCCTGCTATTAGCGACCAGCGAGTTTAGTGCAAAAATGCATGATCGCATCGGCAAGCCTAGTGCGTTTCTATCCTGGGTTTGATAGTGTGGGCGCTACATCTGTTCTGTAACAACTTATTTGGAGCATAGCAGCCGAAAACTATTCTTTAATGTTTTGTTCTGATGATATCGAGATGTTCAAAACCTTCAAAATGCCTCCACCCTTTTTTTTCAGAAAACCTCAAGAGCTGCAGTTATAAGCAATCTTGCTAGCTAGGAGCTTGTAAAAGTACGATTATTTGAGCCATAAGCGGTGTTTCGGCTATCTCCTAAAAAGTTAACTGTATACTAGCTTAAAAAAGATGAAACTAATTTGTCTTAACTTTTATTTGATTTTCATTTTTCGCATTCTTCCATCTCATTTTAGAAATTGGAACAACACTGTCGTTAATGCCTGGCACAGATGCCTTCTTATTCATTCGAAAGTCTTTCTGTTTTCTTTTACGGTTCCATTATGAAGCTTTTTAAACTCAAAAGAATGGTGAAAATCTGCCTTGATCGTTCGTAATTCATACATTAAAAATTCATGCATTCGGTTTTATGACGGATAAGATCTCGGAGCGAAAAGGATAAACAATTTTCTGCTTTTTATCGGATGAAAACATTCTGAAATAGCCTGAACGATAGCGTACTGCCAATAACAATCAACTGCCAGTATAGCTGTTCGTGTACTCTTTTCTGAGTGTCATTAACAAGCAAGCTAGTGGCGATTTTGCTACCGCTATTAACTGTGCATCGAAAGGAATGAACATATTGTAAAAAGGCTACTTCGCCTTTTGCTTTGCCACATCTTCGATCTCTAGCACGAAGACCACTATCTCCACAGTTACACGCGTAACAGAATGCGATCAAAAATTGTTACAAGTATTAAGAACGTGTAACCACTGGCAACACAAACAGATTATGTGCATCGTCCTGCGTGCCAGCGAGCTGTGACCAATTGACCGAAAATGCCCGCATAAACGACTTCGAGAAATATGGTGTGCAGCAAATAAAGGCAGGTAACAAGGTGTTTGCTGCGCGTGGAGTGTAGCTTTATTTCGGATTAGCAGTGCAGACACCGATAATTCCACTATTTCGATAGACTTCTCTTTCGACCTGCTAGCCTGGCAGTAATTTTAACAGTACAAATCTACTGGCAGCATTTGTTCACGTTGATAACTGCTGCTAAAATATAATTGCATCTCGTGGCCGTATTTGTTCTGGGGAAAAAGTATTTTGTTGAGGGACTTGGTATTTAGAGTCATTTTTATGTGTTTTTGCATGTATACAAGTGATGAAAGCATATTGTGACGACTCATGTTGCATATACATATACATATATATATATATATGTATATATATATGTTGCATATGTATATATATATATGCAACATGAGTCGTCACAATACGCTTTCAT